CTAATCGTGGTTTAGTAACCATGGCATTGACTTTGAGAGGTGAATGGGAAAAAGAATTGTAAAAGTCACTGCCCTTTCTTGCTGTGTAACTAAGTGGGCTATCTTGGTGCAGCACCAGAGAGTATCCAGAACATACAGGATCAAATTGAATGTAGTGTGTGCACCTTCTTGTCTTTATAAAATTTTTCGTTCTGTTAATTTTTCAAAAATCCGGTAAAATTGGATAGGGAGTTCTGCCCAAATACATTGTCAGTACCTGAGATTATTACTTTAATTCTTTAGTTAATGTTTTTTCATATGTAATTTCTACTAAAGAACTATTTCATTTTTTTTCAGATTCATAGGTGTGTATATATAGATTATTATACTTGTCACTGAAATGGATTGGATGTTGGTAGTTTTAATTTTATTTTTTTTTAAATCCCAAATGTAAGGCTTTTCATCCGAATTAATCCTTTATGTATTGAAGGAAAACTATTGAATTGACAATCACAAAGAAAACGTTCAAATCTTGGGTGTGTACTGTTAGTCACTTTAATTCAAAGGTTTGATGATAAAAGTTCTTAAAGAATTTTTGATCTATCAGTTCCATTATCTTTGTTCATTGCAGTTACTTCAAAAATTTTTGAATGTGGTTTTTAGTGGCTAATTTAAGTTTTTGGCCCATTTCTGTGAAATATTATGCCTAGTAATAAGATTTTTAATTATTAAATGCTTCTTTGTGTAACCTGTCATCCTTTGAGAGGCCCAGTGTAGTTCTGGCAGTTAGCTGATAATGAAAGGTAAACTGACTCAAGTTTTCTTGCTGTTACTGAGAACTTGACTTTCCATCACAAATATTTCCGAGGAGTATTTAAGCTGAAGTTCTCTTTTGTTTACAGCAATACAAATGCACCGTTTAATATTTCTGTTTTATCACATTTTACAAAATGCTATTATTTCTTTTTAGAGTAGGACCTGAAATTAGGAACTGAAGTCACTTATAAGAACTCATGCAGAGATGGTACTGGTTAGTGTTTCATAGCTGCAGGTCTTTAAAGGTAACGCAAACAACAAAGAATGTATTCAGGATACCAGGAAGAAACACTGCAAAATTTTTAGAAGTTACACAGGAAATTTACAGTCAAAACCTATTTTGTTGCCACAGAATTTTGTTTCACTATTTTGCCAATCCCCTTTATCCTGTCATACATTTTTTGTAGGCTTTGACATTTGTGTGAATACTGCATGAGGTGTTCATCACTGAAAGACCATTACAGTGATACTGTGATGAGGCAGACTGCAAGGCCTACAGATTGGAAATTTTAATCCAGATCAAAACTGTGAAATGCATTTTTTTTTTTGAGATAGAAGCATATTTACAAAGTTTCTCCATTAGTTCTTTATTTTTCTGTATAGGTGTGGTGCCTGTATAAGTGTGAGATTTCTACAAAACCTATATTCCTTACTTTGGTGTCACAGTAGCAGGTTGTTGCAGCTACTGCATTAGTTTATGTGGGCCAGTATAAAAGATTTCTTAAAGTCTGCTCAGAACTTTATCAAAGTTCACCAAAATATACTTAAATGTCAGTGATCTATGTGCTTTCATTGTGGGATGAGAGCAAAGAGAGGGAATAGAAATTGCACTTTTTTTTTTGTTGCAGGATGTAATTGTTCATATAACTTAATTTTTGTTTTTCTAGTGTTTTCCTGCAAACTGGTGTTTCACCGTCCTAGAATCAATATAGCTTCAGAGGACCTTGCTGAAGGGTTTTTTCATTACTTGTGGAGTTAGTTTTTCCTTTGTCTTTCCAGAATGCCATTTACAGCTTGAGGAGCCCATAATATAAGGGATACTTTACAGCAAGCATTTAACAGAGCTTTAGATTAGGTATGCTGGTACTGAAAGTGCAGGAACAAGGAGACAGAAGCATGTGTTAAACCATGATAGCCAGACTGTGACCCATCAAAATTTCTTAGTAAGGTCCCCCAGGTACCATTTTCTTTGGAACAACCATTTCTTTGTGTATTTCTGCATGTGGGTTGATATTTGAAAGGGGGAGAAAGAAAAGAAGGTTAAGTAGTGTGTGGAGCTCAAAATAGTATCATCTCTTAAAACTTGATGCCTGAAAGTGGAGTCTCTGGGGCATTTGGTGGTGATTTGCAAGACCTTCTTGCTTCAGAGGTGAAAGGCGTGGAAGTGTGTTAGCATTTGGTGAAAAAGTTTTCCTGATTCTTAGCCTGCTTCCATTTAGGAATTTAGTGTGTTTAAAAATGTTGACTATTTTGTCAGTTCTCCTTTGCTATGTAGGTAATTCTTGTGGCAGCCACTTCTTGTGTGAATGTGGGCTCTGGAGTGGGAACAGGATGGAAGCAGTCAGAGTTTGTAATCTCATCGCCCTGTTTCTAAGTCCAGCATTGCATAAACATTATTTTTTTTGTATTTTAGGATTGGCTGCTTTCAGATATGAAATTATTTAGTCACTGAATTGTACTCTGGATCGAGAAAGCTGTATGTAGTATTGCTTTAGCCATTCAATAGCAACTTCGTAATAGCGGTGTTTGTTTTTTGGATACTGGCCTTTACAAAGTCATGTCAAGGATCCTCCTGTATCCACAGCAGCACCATGGACTTCTTATTCTGCCTGGGTGTTATGGAAATTATCACAAAAAACATTCAGAAATGCATTGCCTGGGATTTCTGCGGTAGCTTTGATTCTTGTATTTTTAGTTTGCTAGGGAGAGAGGGTGGAAGAGCAGTGTGTAAGATCAGAATTAGGCACAGATTATCTGCGTAATATGGTTCTTGTTAGCACAAATAATATGAATACCTCTTGGAGAACAAACGAATTATATAAAAAGAAATGAAAACATCCAGATCCTGAGCATTTGGAAAGCATGACGGTGATGTATTTGTATAACCTTTTCATGAAGAGCGATGCTGAAGTCAAAGAGGGGATTTTTATTTCCTTCATTAAAAGCTTATTAAACGAAGAAATAGGACAGTCGTCGTTTTGCTTCAATAGTTGGGGGTCACAGAGGCAGGCCTGGTCTCCTCAGGATATTAATGCCTGCTTTCAGCTGGGGGAAATGAGCCATCGCTTGAGTTAGCTGCAGCTTTATGTGCTCGTCACTAGGGATCCCCATATGTCCTGGGATCTACGGCAGTCGGAAATGGCAGAGCTCGGCAGCAGGGAGCAGAGGGCTCTCATTGCTATTCGTAACAGGTAGCTCGGCTCAATCTGCCCAGAGCAAGTCTGTTTAATGTTGATCAGCTGTCCATCTGATAAACCGAATTGATATGGACATATCCTCCAAGGGCTGCCCCGACAATGACAGCAGGAACATCAGGATGTCTTGTTAGTCTTTTTCTTGGAGGTTGAAATTTTATTAACCCTTTGTTAGAGCTGAGGCAAGTGTGATTACAATACTGCAGCTGGGTTGTGTGAGTTTCTCCCTCACCTCTTTGAAAAGCAGCATCAACCTTCAGTTTTATTGTCTACATGGAGAATGGCTAGCTGTTTGGTTTTTGGATTCTTTTTCTTTTCTTGGAGCCAAAAATTGTGAATTAGACAGGCAGCTTTGAAAACAGCTTAGTTTTTTTGTGCATGACAAAATACATCGGGAACCTCTATTTATCCTCTCCCCCAAGCTCATCTGCGTTTTGCATGCCTGCCCAGGCCATGTGACTCTCTTGGCTCTTCTCTCTTGCTAATTGGCACAGATCACTGGCCTGAAACAATTGCTGCTGGGGCTCTTCACAGGTCACATATATCTGGGGCAGAAGGTTACTTTAGATTAATATGGTGTGGGGCAGTTGCAACACATCTGCACTGTCCAGAGGAAAGAGAATTAATTTACTCAGTATTATGTTGGTACTGAGGCAGAATCTAACCTGAGCATGTATCAGCAGGTATATGCATATGTGAAGGTTAGGAGCAATTTGGTTACTCAATGAATCAGCGCTAGGCCACTTTTGAATAAGCACAGGAAGCATAACATGCCTTTGTTCTATGTTGTAATTATTTGGAACTGCCTTTAGTCATCTGTTTAGTTGAGGGCATGAATTGTGTTTTTGCTCATATGTGAAGTCTCCATGGCGTGAAGGGAACTGCTTGAGTCAGAAAAGATGTGAATATGCTGCAGATTTCATAAGGGGGGGTTCCTGTGTGTGTCTGGGTCTACAGTGTTAAAAGGATACTCCAGTGCATGGCTCTGTTCCTCTCTCTCCCTGTCCTGCTCAGTTATGTCGGTTCAACACCTCGTTGTAGTTCTGAGCTAAGGTCACATCTCTGGGCTCCTTGGAGTGACAGTCACTAACTGTCTGGGGCTACAGGGTTGGACTGTGGGAGGAGAGGGCTGTGCTAATGACTCTTTTCATGCCTTTTCCAAAAAAATCAAAATAGAGGGCAAGCCTCTATGGAATAAGCTCTGTGGAAAGCCTCTCACAGGGATTTGCTGGACAGTTGCTTTAGCTGCTTTTGACTGAAACAATCAGTGAAAAATCATTAGTACACAGTTTTAAAACGTTCAACTGTTTTTCTTCTGCCTGCACTCTTCCCCCTTGGTCGTATTGAACTGCAAGGTATCCTATTATTAATTAAACACTAATTTGAGCAGTCATTGACTGCAGCATTCTTATGGTGTTCATATTGGCTTGCTTGCAGTTCCCCTGCTGATACATCCTTTGTTCCTTCCCATCAGTACTTTCTGCTTGTCATTTTCCTCATGTCAGTGTCCCTCAAGCTTCTGGTAGACAAAACAAAAGAAGAAAGCACCATGAGGACTGTAGGGATTATTTTGCTTTAGAATTCAAACAAAGGGTAGCTGCTTACCTGGAAGTACTTAGTGACAGTTCTCTATGCTTAACACCTCCCAGTTGTGGCTTCTAGCAGTAGATAGAAGAGCTACACAATAATTCATAAAATACCTGTTTAGTACATGTGGTTGGTTGTCCATTTTCTTTAAGAATCTCTATTCATAGCATCAAAATAATTGTCCTTTTTCTTTCTTTCTTTCAGTCAAAGAAGTCTGGCTGAGATTACGGAGCTGATCCACACTGCTTTCCTGGTGCATCGTGGTATAGTAAACATTGGTGAGCTCAAGTCCTGTGACGGCCCACTGAAGGATATGCAGTTTGGAAATAAAATGGCTGTTTTGAGTGGAGATTTTCTCCTAGCAAATGCTTGCACGAGCCTTGCGCAGTTGCAGAACACCAAGGTAAAAAGAAAAAGATTTTACTGCCAGAGCAAGTAACTAACTATGAGTGAATCTATATGAAGAAATCAGCAGTTATGTATGTATATATGGAGCATCATTTAAAAATCAGCATACTTACAATATAGCTGTAGATGGATTGACAGGCTGCTGCTGCTGTGAACATGTTTACTGCTCTCCTATGGAATTACTGTGGTGATATCTTTAGTACACATTCTGAAGCACTGTAGTAATGGGTGAGTGGTTACTTTGGTGAATTGAAGATACATGCAGTGGCATCTTTATGACATGTCAGGCTACAATGCCACTGGCAAACTGCCAGCTGAAGACATATTTGGTCTGTTATTTTCTTTTACCTTGTGCTTTGTGAAAGGTTTGCTGTCTTAGAAAATTCTTGGGGGAAAAGGCTTTATTGCTTTGTCTGAGGTGACTTTTTGCTCTTAATAAAATTACTTTGTTAGGCATTTGGATGTCCCTGCATATTGGACTGCCCTATTACTGTATAGGTACTGGCTTCTACAGGACAGCTGCAATCCAGTTGCTCATACAAACTGTTTGAAACTTTACAGGAAGATGTTTTTAATGAGAAACAAATTGTATCTACATATTATCTTAGAAAATGAGACTGATGGAGACATTAAGAGATCATCTCTCTAGTTGGTTCTTCTTTTTGCCAGGTATGATCAGCTACTCCAAACCATTCTTGACATGCATTTGTCGAGCTTGTTCTTAAAACCTCCCATGGTGGAGAGAATCCTGGACATCCCTGTGCCAGTCTAATATGGCTAGACTAACATGCATGGTTGAAGAGCTTCATGTGCCATTCCAGTAGAAACAGGAAACAGTACTTTTTTGGAGAGGTACTTTTTATACATTTGAAGATTGCTGCCATGTCATAATGTAAAATAAATGTTTGTCCTGTGCAGCTGTCAATAATCAGCATAGTTGTAATCATGATTTTAAGGAGTCTATTTTTTTTAGATTCTTATGCTAAGTTTCCTCATGGTGGTAGTTGAGTATTTCTGCACTCCTTTGATCATGAGTGTGACAGTTTCTCTCAGAAGTGGTATCGTTTTCTAACACAGAGCTGAGGTTCAAGAGAAGAGACAGAAAATTAGATGTCAATCTACTGGAATAGTAGGTTAAGCCATTATGGTGACAACTGGTAGTAAGAACTAAAAAAAATAGTTTTAAATAGTGCGTACCATAACCAAAATGGGGTGCAGTTGATTTTACTAATTATTATTGATTTGTATAAATTCATTTTTTTTAGTACTTTGTAGGATTGTCAAGAGAGACCAAAGGATTTAACCCCTACATCAATTTTTTGTTTCAACATGAGAGGAAACTTTTATAAAACATAGCACCTATTACTTTGCATTTAGTACATAAGTGAGTGCTGCAGCAGGAATGTATTATCCCTGAAGACTTGCCAGGAAGCAAGCCTACAGTGAAATGAAGCACAAGAAATAATTTTTTTTTTAAAAGCAGTCATTATACTGCATGTTGGAAAATTCTGCCAAAACATTTTAGCACTTTTTTTCATTTTTCTGACATCTAAATACTTTCGTAGCTTCTACATACGATAAGTGGGATGCCATTATGGAAACTGATTGACTTAGTAAATGATTCTTTTTCATGTGTCTAACCCTACTAGCACAGTAAGAAAAATTGAAGTACAAGCTATAGAAATCTCTTGACAGGTGCAATGATTTAAACATACTGTATTTATTCTTTTGTAAATGATAAATTTTCGAATCTGGCATCTGTTTTTTAGCAGTGTGAAATAACTGTGACTTCTTTCCTTCATAATGTTTTGTGTTCTGTGATGTAAAAGGTAAAAATCACAGTACTACTTCTTTTGCTGGCATTTAGCAAATTGGCTAATGGAATGAGCAGCATCGTATCGTACATGGTAGTGACCATGGTGTGCTATAACCTCCATAGACGTGCATAGACCAGAATTTAAATTAAAACGGGTTTTAACATTAACTGAACTCACTGCTACCAAGATAATTTTATTGTGCTGTTAAACTCGTCTGAGCTTGTGTATGATGCATTTATCTCTGTGCTTCTCTCGGGGCTGACAATTAGACATGAAATTCTGTAGTCGTAATGAAATGCAGAGCTATTTTATAATTGCCAAGGGTAAAATTAGCAAAGTCAATTATTTTCCCTTAGGCTTTTCCCTGTAGATATTAAAAGGCTGCAAGGTAATTGCCTTAGGTAACACTTTGATTTTTAAATAACATTAAATATAGGAATTGTTGTTAATTCGTAGTAATTTTCCTCTTCTTGCTACTGTTGTGGAATATAACTGTAATGATATTAACAAGAATCAAGGCTCAATGTTTGTGTTTTTGGGGGTTTTCTTTTAAACTAGTTCCCCTACCTCTCATATGTTTGCTAAAGTTATGCAAAAGAAGGGTTTGGAGTGATCTTTTGACCTTTATGTTTTTTAATCTCTGAGGTTCAAGGATTCTAGATTTCTTGAAATGTTGAGTTAGGAAGCCTCCTGTAAGATAAATTCTTATTTATCTTTGTCTTTTGGATACATAACAATTCAGAGGAAAGCATTGTCATTTTCTACTCTGTGAAGTTATGATACAATAATTATGAATACAAAGTTGGTGTCAGCTGAGGCTTTAAGTATTGATGGGCAGATGCATCTGCGTACTATGCTTTTGTAATCCTGGCAAAGTTCTACATTTATTCAGATAATAAAAACTTTTGAAAATTAACAGTAATTTCTTCAAAAACCTTACAGCTGCAAAGCATTAGACTGATCAGGTCACATGTATTTACAATACTTTTGTACATTCATGATAACTTTTTGGTTACCTTATATAAACTAACATTTGGATGGTGGCTCTTCTTGGCCTGTGAATTGTGGTGATAAATTATGTTATTGAAAATTATGTGGTTAAAACCTTACTTCAGAACCGCATCCTGCAGTAGATTGAATATTGCTAATCCATGGATTTTAGAACAGAATTGAGCCTAAAGATGAATTGGGTTGGGATCTTTTAGTGGGTGGTATATCAGCAGTGGAAGGGGGAGCCTTTGACTAGGAAAGACTTGTTTTGTTTTGCTACTTAACAATGCCATAATGTGTGGTAGTGTGATGATTTGTTGAATTGGGGTGTGTTTAAATGGGATGACAAGGTTATTTTGGTAGGCCTTCTCATTTTGAGGTTACAGTCTTCTGATACTAGGATCATGATAAGATATTTGTGAAAGTCGTTGTAAACATGTAGTGGGAGTGATGGAAGAGTAAATTATGTTTGCCTAACAAAATAGGGTACCTCCCAGCTATCTTGTGGGATATGTGAACATAAGCAGTTTTAAATAAATGTGTGAATGAATTATTAAGAAGTGTAAAATGATATCTCTAACAGTTGGTTCTTTGTTGCCATCTGAAGGTAATATATCTTAACATTTGTTATCTTGCTTTGCCTAGCCAAGGATATGGGGATGAAGCTGCTAAGAGCAAATTTTTTGAATGAAAGTCCTTCTTTGGCTCTGGTAGCAAAAAGCGTTAGTTTTGTCTTTGATTTCTGCATGAGTAACCTTCACTTCTTGCAATATTTTTAGACTGGCTTTCAGATGCAAACATAGCAAAAGTAACAAATATTAATTGGCATTTTTGTCACCTGTCAACCAGATGTGCAATACAGGCATTTTTCCACAGTCATGTGTGCATAGTGACCATGGTATTATCAAATAATGTGCTTTTTCAGGGTTTATAATAGATAACTTGGAAGAAATCTGTTGCAGCATTAAAGCTGGTACTTCCTAGCACACCTGAATCATTAGTTGTCTTATGAAACTATAGATAGGATGCTTAAAAGATGTAATTATGACCAGTTTTGATGCTTTCACACTCTGAAGACAGTGGTGCGCAGAACTTTCAGATGGCTGAAATAATGCATTGTAGTGCAGTGCCTAGAAAATAGTAAAATAATCTGTAAATGCATTACTTTCAACTCCAAAAACTGATAAGAAGACATCCCTTTGTATTTAAAGAAAGAAAACCCACATAGCAGCCAAACAACCAAAATAAAACCATACAAACCCAGCATATCCAAAACAAAAAATAAAACCCCCCAAAAGAAGAAGAAAAAGCCTAGCCCAAAAACCTGAAATACATGTAGTGATAGTGTTCTCCATAGTTCTTACTGAAATCTTAAGAACTGACTATTTTTCCCAGCATAATTCAGTGAGGTCTCATTGAAATAATTAAACTCTTCATGGAAACCCTTCAAAATCTGCAGCCTGAAAGCTTAGAATTGAATTTAAAAATCTTGTCTGCCAATGCACAGCTCTGACAGATCACATTATAGAGCATTGTTTTATTAAGTATTATTTGTTTATAAATAAACAGTAGCCCAGATGCAGTACTTATATAGTGGATGCATTTCCTTATGTTAAGTTTATGTATTCCTAAAGGCATAAATGTGTTGTTTATGAAATAAGCCTTTTGTTTGCATAAACATCAGTAAGCTAGTCATTTGAGTCTTCTTATATCTTCCTATTGCAACAATCTAAATGTACATTGAACTTTACTTATCTTGAACTGTGGTTACAACCTTCAAATTCTTTTATAGAAAACAGAATAAGGAGCTTTTCTGAAGTACTTTGTCATGTCTGTCTTACGGTACCTTCCTCTGAGGCACTGTTTGATGATGATGTACTGGACAAGATGGGGAGTAGGATAGTATCTCTATTGATGAGTATTTTTATTTTAATTTAGTATTTTAGAGTACCACAGGGGCATGTCTCAAAAACAGACATTACTGGAAAATACAGGTAAGTTTAAAGAGCTCTGAACTAATTTATGGAAAAGTACACTTAAGAAACACTGCTTTGTCTGGATACTGGGGGAGAAGAAAACCAAGGAAGAAATCCTATGTTTTTGAGCCTTTACCCTAATATGTGATGACATAAGGCAACATGATTGAATTATTACATATCAAAGCTCTTCTTTGGGCAACGCCAAGTAA